GCTAGGTCAAGGCGGTCGGTTTAACCCTATCAACAAAGTCCTGGCGTTACGCCTAGAGGATAACGAGTAAACAAGCCAGAAGGGAGAATGGTCGATCGGTACGGTCTCGAGTGGAGTTGTCCAGGAGAGCCCTACGGTTTCGACTTGCGAGGTCCCGGAGCGGCGTACACCCGAACCCCGAGCGCCAAAAGCCACGCTACGTCCCGCCGCGCAGCCAGCACCACCAGGAGCAGTGCGCAAGATTGCGTCAGCAGCAGGCCAGCCACCACATCCCGGACCACACACAGAAGTGTGAGGCTAGGGTGGAACTGTCCGCGCGGGCTGAGCAGAAACCCCAGTGGGACCATCCGGGACAGAGCAAGGGACAGGCGGCGGTGTGTCGAAAGGAGTGATCCTGGAGAGCGCAGCTTCTGTTCACCCTAGTCTGAGAACGGTGACGCTTCTTTAAGCCCGTACGGCTGATCCCCCTCGCGAGTCCGAGTCGTTACCAGCAGTCACCAAGTCAACGCGTCAGGAGCGAGCAGCGAGCGAGCATCTTCAGGGAGCTGCGAGGGTCTTCAGGGAGCTGCGAGGATCTTCAGGGAGCTACAGGACTGGAGCACCGAGTCATCAAGGCGAGAGGTCGTCGAGTCAATCAGGACCGTCGGAAGTACCGAATGTCACAAGCGACGAGTCAAGGCCAACCAAGCTATTGAGACATTTGTAATAAAATATTTGCAATAAACCCACTACGAGCCCGTGAATTCTGTGCTTTCTCACTGAGCTACTGGTCGGTCACGTTTATATAAATTTGGTGGGACGAGCACACAATCTACTGAGCTAGACCGCACGAATCTCGTAGCGATCAGACCACAAAAATCAGTTCGTTACAAAGCTTTTTTTTCCTATCAAAACATCAAAAACACCTGTTCTGGCACACAATTGCAAAATGTTATGACAGGGACGCGACAGGGGGTTTAAAAAAATTGGTACTACATACTAATATTAAAAAGGAAAAACTAGTAGGTCTTATTAATCATATAAAGAGCTTTGCGAGAACATAGTCATAAATTTATATATGCATTTAATAAGAAAAAACATAAAAAACTCCTTTAAGAAATGTCTGTCTTCGCCACTTTTATGCCCTGACACAAGAATTAGGTAAGAAACATATCCATTTCTATTAACATATTAGCTAAAAGTCATTTAAATGGTAGATTTTTATACCCGTTACTCGTAGAGTAAAAGGGTATACTAGAGTCGTCGGAAAGTATGTAACAGGCAGAAGGAAGCGTTTCCGACCCCATAAAGTATATATATTCTTGATCAGGATCACTAGCCGAGTCGATCTAGCCTTGTCCGTCTGTCCGTCTGACCGTCTGTCCGTCTGTCTGTCCGGATGAACGCTGAGATCTCGGAAACTATGAGAGTTAGGCTATTGAGATTTGGCGTACAGATTCCTGAGCTTCTTACGCAGCGCAAGTTTGTTTCAGTAGACTGCCACGCCCACTCTAACGCCCACAAACCGCCCAAAACTGAAACTCCTACAGTTTTGATGCTAGATAGAAAATTTTAACTGAAATGTATTGTTCTCATCAATACCATCGATTGACCTAAAAAAAAGTTTGCCACGCCCACTTAAACGCCCACAAACCGCGAAAACCTGTGACGCCCACAATTTGGATGCTAGATGAAAAATTTTAACTGAAATGTATTGGTGTCGTCAATACCTATCGATTGATCCAAAAATAAATTTGCCACGCCCACTCTAACGCCCATAACGCTTAAATCTGTCTACCGCCGGTAGGTGGCGCATTTTAATTTTTTTTTAAATTTAATTTGCTGCTTGCATATCTCCATTTCCCTTTGAGTAACGGGTATCTGATAGTCGAGGTACTCGACTATAGCGTTCTTCCTTGTTTATTCTTGTTTGACCCATGGGAGAAAGGCATTGACAAAGCAATGGCTTGATCTCCGTATTATAATCATAACAATTAACAGCTGGCATAACCCCATAAAAATAGTGTTAGCATTCCACAAAGGTAAAAATTAATTTTTATTTACTTCATATTTCTATTATAGTTTGAACACAGTTCATCCGGAAGCAATTCGTCTAAAAGAGAACACCTAAGATGCAGAATAATACTCGTATATGTCATATACATACAGTGCTAGACCTTAGACACAAGCCTAGGAGGCAACAAGAGGAAACACACATGAGTGGTAAAAGTCTTAAAAATGGCGCAACGTAGGCAAAAAGCGTCGAAAAGATATGGTGTCTGGCAGCGGCTACCTGAATGCTATTTGGGTGCTTTTTTTATAAAACACGCAGATTTAATTAGGTAATAAAAAAAATCTGCAGAAATGTAAAACTTGGGATTTTTGAAAATTTGCAACTTGAATTCCCACAGAGCGTATCCAGAATATAAATTTTACCAAACTTGTATTGCTTTTGTCAATACTGACCGACCCTAAAACAGTTTGCACACACGCTTTAATGTTCGCCCGGTGTAGCTGCCGGTTAGTCATCGAAATTCCCAGGGAGGGGAACAACCGAAATTTTACCCACGCAGAGTCCACAAAAAAACAAAACGGAATTTCCAACTTGGACAATGGTTATTTTTACGACGAATTTTAAGCATCATGCCTGGACTAGACCATCTTTTAGAGTGATTTATTCTTAGTTTAATTAATCCATCCTCAATCGCTTTTTGCGACTTTTTGCAAAAAAATCATTTTTATGCAGCAACATCTCGATATGCAATGCGGCCCTGTTAGAAGTGTGGCGCAAGCAAACGTACGGCCGGGACAAACAGAGTGCCGTATTCAATACTCTTTAGATCTCGTTTAGATCTCGTTTTGTGTTCAACACCCCCACTTCTGCAAACTAAATCTAAGGGTGTACTGATCACTAAAAAAATTATCAGAATACCTTGCATAGTTCAGGAGTTATTTTTTTATGACAAAAAAACGGGTCAAAGTCCCTATGTATGTATACATGCATGTATACATAAATAAGTAATATATAATATTGCGAGTATTTTTTGGAATAAATAAATAAGTTAGATGAATAATGTTATAAATAGACAAAAATTTTAATAAATTAATGGTCTATTTTAATTTACTTTTTAGGTTTCGTAGCTCGTCGGTAGGCGGTTATCGAAAATATGCCTATCGTTATCAGGCCTTAAATAAAAAACTCAGTTAATTTGGTGTTTCATTTATTGTTTGTAATTTACGCACATAAAAGGATTTTGTTTTCTTTATCAATACCTATTTATACAAATTATCAAAGTCGGTCCGTTCATTAAGAAGTTGTGACCAAGGCGCCCTGAAATCTCGGTAAAGGTATAATTGCGCTCTATTTAGCTGTATATGGGGTATCTGATAGCGAGGCATAGGACTTCCCCGTTGTTCCTGCTCTTTTTTTTTTATAAAAGACTAAACACTTACATTCGAATTTGCTGACTACGGGAGCTCCTAACTTCCCGGGATTACCGTGGCTGAGTGATCTGCTAATTAAATACAGTATTAAATGGATGTAACATTCGTAATTCGAAAATGGAAGTGGAAAAGTGGAAGCCGAGCATAGTTCATGTTAAATCCGAAGTGGCTTGTCGTTTTTGGTGTCTCAGTGGGAAGTCCTTAGTAATTCTTTTCAAACATCAAATGCAGTGTGACCAAGTATGGTATTTGATATACTTTTTGGTATATAATCAGCTCAGATGTTGGTATTGCTATATATTGATATATATTCGTATATAAAGCCTAGTACTCAGATCAGCTAATAGTTTCACTAGTCGAAAAATCTTATTCTCTGTAGTCTGACCGAAGTTTCTAAAGTTCACGCGCAATGCATGTGGTATGGTCTTACTGTCAAGCAGCTGGTCTTGTTGCCAAACGGAAAACAAATCAGTTGGAGCAATTTAAAAAAGAAGAGTCTGCCGGTGCACAAAAAAAAAATAAATGCAAAGCGAAAAATTCCGCCCCCTCCCTATTTGCTGTACGAATAACATTAGGAGTATTTAAAGTGTAAATAGGTTATTAATTATTAAAGGCTTATATGTTTGAAGAATTGTATTTCATATCGATTCTTTTGTCAGTTACAACGGAAAAAACATTATTATTTGTGTTTTTGCAAGACAAAAAAATATTACTTTTAGAATATAACTTTTCTGCCCTTGATTGCCGCAAATTTAGCAATAATATCATTGTAGTCGAGTGATGCTGCTACTTCATTTTCGATAGATAGTATAGCTAAATTTGACAGCCTGTCTTGGTTCATGGTTGTGTGCTCCTTGAGGCGGAAAACATCAAGTTTGTTTCAAAAGAGGAGAACCCACAAAATTGCCTAGAGCTGCGTCCCATTGAGAGATATTGGGCCATCGTTAAGCGAAATTTATTAAAAAATGGTAGTCTCTCCCAAAACAACATAGACATGAAAAAAAAACTGGATGCGTGCAGCCGGCAAGGTCACCAAGGAGGGTGTGCAGAACCTGATGAGAGGAGTTAAACAAAAAATTCGCTCAAAAATAAGATGTTAATTTTTTTTAAATTCTGTTTATAAAAATTGAACGTTTAAGTTTTGCTTTAAAAAAACAAAAAGAAAAATTGAAATCGAATAAAAAACATGAAAGTTATAGTAGAAAGAAAGTGTGCAGTTTCTTTTCGGCACATTCCTTATATTGCTAGTCGGACTCGATTTAGCGCCTCTTAGATTTGGCGCACGGGGCGCTTGCCCCTTTCGCCCCCCCCTAGATCCACCACTGTACGAATGCATATTGTTTTAGTTTTATGTTGGACTGAAATATTAATAATCTTGTAAAATGAAATAAAAAACAAACATTTTTTGCAATGGGAAAAACCCTATTTTTTCTATATATAATAAGTCAATTATTATTTTTACATATAACATATTATAATTTGTTTTATTTATTATTTATAGTGGTATTTTGTAAAATATGAAATAGTAGTTTATAGTATATTTTTGAGACCAAATTGGTATTTCACGTTTGGTCCGGCGCGGTCACGCTGATTCACTGACTAAAAACCGATTGATAAATCTTAACAAGTTTATTGCGGACTATGAATATTGCTTTAAAATTGGGTTTCTCAATGTGCTGTCTAAGTCGCAGGAGTCCGGCACATACATTTATTCAAAGAGGAAGTCATGTGTAAGTTCTATTTCCCAAACCAAATTTTTAATTTTATATGAACTTACATAAGATTTTTAGTGTCTCCTACCGTAATGCCCCACCGGCGCATTCAAGTGCAACCAAAATTGGTGCTGTGACTGTTGGTGGAGCTATGTGGTGGTGGGTAATTTGGCACCTATGGCATGAGCCCGACCATATAACGGTATGATCTTAACTTAAATATCGCTCACTTACTGAAAAACTGATGCATCTAAAAAAAACATTTTAGTGCTGTGAACACATTTTAAGTATTCAACTTTTACAAATCTCAGGCTCATATTTTGTACGCATATATCTTCAACTCAAAAATTTAGTTTTTCATCATAGATAAGTCACCCTTTCACTAATAAGCGATATTTACATATATTTTGCATTATATTAAACACATATTTTACAGGGGGAATTCGATTATCCTAACCCAAAGCAATGGAGCAACTCTGAGTTGGGTATTCCTAAAGATTCTTAAACGTTCGATAAAATTCAAGGTTATCCCATAAATATTCAATAAAATGTGACTCTTAGCCATGGACGTATTTGTTTATGTGTTGAAATCTTATCGGTTCAATGAGGTAATGAACTCCGCCCAACAATAACCATATTATCATAGTACTAAACTCGATTGGAATAAAACCGTGCAACACTACAAAAAGAACGTAATCTTTAAGGGATTCTAAGGGATGATGTTGAACTAACTTATAGTTTAAAATGGCGTTACTAAATTTTGAAATAGTCAAGAGCAGGTGTATGTTCCCCAAAAAATATTAGAATCGATTGGCCGGAATTTCTTCAAAAATTTACGTGCATAAATTTGTCTGCGGAAATGCATTGTGCTCTTGTAATGCAATATTAAAGTTGCTTGTTTGCTATAAAAACATAGTTGCCTTTTCTACGATTTTTAGTGTTGTGCTGTAAAAATTAAAGTAAACCTTTTTAAGATTTCCTATACAAAAAATTACCATTTTGAAAATTGTTCTTAATTTCATGGGGTTATGGATTCCTGTCTAAAGACAACTGCGGCTAGTGGTTCCTAACATTGAAAAAGTATTGCAATTAGCGAAAAATCTTTAACGCGTTTCACTTTTTGAAGACACCCAAACCACTCATCAATACTCCTGAAGGCAATGTAAGTATTTATAACCCACATCTTAGGCCAATATTGGTTTGAAAAAAGTCGCGCGGGGTTTGTTGAATATTAGATTTGCCTACCAAAACCAATGCGCGGGATTTCTTTGTTTTATTAAATACTTGCATTTCAATAAAAGTATGAGAAACCATCAATACTGACAACGAAAAGGAATAGGCATAATCTTTAGCTCTAAAACTGATTTGCAATTTTAGACACTTTTTAGAGAAACCATAATTAAATAATATACCCCTATACTCACGGTATGATTTACCAAGAAAGGAAAGAAAAAATGACCACAAAAAATGTCCATTAATTGATCCCCCTTGGGCCGTGGCTTCTTTAGAATCCAAAGTTTAGATTCACATTGTAAAGTTATATGTTCGTTATCCGTAATCAAGCGAGTTCTTAAAGAATAACTGTCCATTGAGGATATTTGTATAAAAATAATTATATACTATTGTAGATTTTTTAAAAATGCTTATTATTTTGACAGCTATGAAAAGCTCGTATGTTTTTTTATAGCACAACACTTTACACGTTAAAGGCTACTGTGTTTGTAAAAAAAACGCCGAACTTTTAAATTTAACAAATGCTAACCACGCATTTCCGCGGAAAAACCCTCTAAACCCTCTTTCGACTAGTAAAACTCTTTGCCCATCTGTGTACTGGACTTTGTGATATAAAGTCTCTATCATCTCTAATCTCAACAAAACAAACTTTTTTCAAAACTTATATTAATTGTCTTTAAACAAAAAGTAACAAAGGTTTCACAAACCCTTTCATAAACAACTAAATTAAATATTTCCTTAAATCCTCAAATTTTGGCTGGACACAATAATAGGTGTACAAAGATAAATGTTTAAATTAAATCAGTATTTCACTATGTTTGGTCTTTTTTTATATTAAACTAAGTATCTGGTAGCTAATAGCCGGTATATCCGCCATTATTTTGCAGGACTTTCTCCATTCGTCTTGGCATGGAGGATATTAGCTTGCGACATGTGCCAATTGGAATATTGTACCATCTTCTTTGGACAATATCCCAAAGTTGACTTTTATTTTGACAAAGTCTTTCCCACCTCTCTTTTGAGTTCACCCCAGAGATTCTTGATGGGATTAAGGTCTTGGCCACTCAAGAACATCCACATTTTGCTCTCGGAACCAATTCCGCTCAAGTCTTCCAGGACGATTGCCAATGAAATTGGGAATATTGAGTCATCACGGACCGTTAGGCGACGATTGGCAATAGCAAACCTACCAGGTAGGATTGCTCGCAGGGTTCCTTTGCTTCGGTCGGCAAATTTACAGATGAGTAAAAAAATTTCATTAGATCGTAGAACCTGGTGCGGACCAGAGGGAGAGAAAAAATGACGTAATATCCTCTGGAGTAATGAAACCAAAATAAATTTATTTGGAAATGATGCCAAAAGGAATGTTCGTCGTCCGAATGGCAAAGAAATTGATCCTAAATACACATATAAGACTGTGAAAAATGGAGGTGGTAGCCTAATGGTCTGGGGCTGCTTTTCATGGTATGGTGTTGGTCCGATTCATCGCATTGACGGAATAATGGTCAGATTTGTTTACAAAGATATATTGGAGACGATGATGCTACCATATGCCGAGTATGATATGCCACTTTTATGGAAGTTCCAGCAGGATAATGACCCGAAGCACGCCTCTCGAGTAGTAAAGGATTGGTTCCGAGAGCAAAATGTGGATGTTCTTGAGTGGCCAAGTCAATCCCCGGACCTTAATCCCATCAAGAATCTCTGGGGTGAACTCAAAAGAGAGGTGGGAAAGACTTTATGTCAAAATAAAAGTCAACTTTGGGATATTGTCCAAAGAGCATGGTACAATATTCCAATTGGCACATGTCGCAAGCTAATATCCTCCATGCCAAGACGAATGTAGAAAGTCCTGCAAAATAATGGCGGATATACCGGCTATTAGCTACCAGATACTTAGTTTAATATAAAAAAAGACCAAACATAGTGAAATACTGATTTAATTTAAACATTTATCTTTGTACACCTATTATTGTGTCCAGCCAAAATTTGAGGATTTAAGGAAATATTTAATTTAGTTGTTTATGAAAGGGTTTGTGAAACCTTTGTTACTTTTTGTTTAAAGACAATTAATATAAGTTTTGAAAAAAGTTTGTTTTGTTGAGATTAGAGATGATAAGAATTAGAAATAAAAAGTTAAAAATGAAAAAAAAACACACCTATTATATTGTCCATGAGCGCATTAGCTTCCAAAAGGAAAACATGCTGTAGAAAAGCCGCAATGACCACATAGTTGTCAGAAGAGCATTATCATTGTTGGGGTGGGGTGGCTTGATCGCTGAAATTGGAAGAACGAAGGTACAAAAATCCCGGGAGTACGTTGGGGTTTTAACTCGATGTGCGTGGGTGTTTATTGTCAGTATGAAAATTGAACTGCTTAAGTCTAGCTTAACTTAGGCGCTCCAGAGCGGAGCGGAGACTTAGGGCACAGATGGAGAGGGAGTACAGAGGGCAGTGCGAGCGCGCGAGAGGTGACTTCTGGGTAAAACTGCAGCTCGACACTGCCTCCAGAAATTAAAAGCCCTTTTAGCGTGAAAAAATGTCACAGTCAAATGACAGTCAAGGAAACGATTCAAACAGACCAGGGAACGTCTGTTCTTATTAAAGAGAGGGTGGTCCATAAGACCGCATAGGCTAAGATTGAAATTTAAACGAACGACTATCTTTATTTCCTCCTGCTCTAACTTTTGAAGGATTAAACTTGCAGTCATTCTATTGTTGGGGGTAGTTCATTGTCGGATTGTCAACTATTTTCATTTTAACTACATTCCGGTGATAGACGGAAAGGTATTGGTATGGGAACAAACGGACTATTTCAGGCATTCAAGTAACCTGACAAAACTATGCCAGTATGATAGATGAGACCGCAGAATAAGCAAAGTTATTCCCTCAATCGAATATGCAAAAGTTACTAGATGTGGATATAGAGCATTTTAGAAGTTTGTTGCCGTAGTAAAAGGGCACCATAGAATGGGAAGAAGTCTAGATTTCCTAGGCTCGGCACTCAAGGTAATCGCTGGCACGCCATTTGCGGCCGATTTCGAGAAGGATAATTGTTCCGAATCCCAGTTAATTGATTAGGCAAATAGTGATTAATTCGGAAACACAAAAGCGGATTAATTAATTAATTTAACTAATTTAATTAAATAATTAAAGCAAAAAAGAATGAGCTGACACTGCATTTATATGAAATATTATTAGCGAGAAATATAATATTAATAAATCAAATTTCAAACTTGATACTCACAATTACATTGGCTAGAGCTGAAATAATAAATCCAAATATTTTTGATCACAAGGATTTGGTGACAATTTTAAAGGAACACTCATTCCCATAGTTAGCCTAACCGAAGCATCGAAAATTAAAGTCCTTCAGACGGAGAATATAATTCATATACTCATAGCCTACCCTTGAGTTAAGCTAATCTGTACTAGAGGCACCATCTTTTCGGTCACACTGCAACTATCAGATAACACCGTAGCAGAATGCAAAAATGACGTAATAGCAGTCAACGAGTGCGTAACTACAACATTCACATCCGTTTGTAAGTTAACAGCACAAGACACCTGTGGACGAGCACTAGACGCTAGCGGCGCAGCCTTCTGCTGCACGCAATCAAGCCACCTGAAGCCTATTACGCAAGTAGATGATTGAATCATAATCATCAACGAGAGCACAGCAACAGTCAGGACAGACGTTGGCCCAGAGATCGTTATAGGCGGAACATACCTCGTCACCATCCGCTTTTCCGCAATCACCAAAGGCACGAAATATGTGAGCCAGCGTTAGATATTAAAAAGAAGCAAGGCATAGCGGGGTCACCGCTACTTAACATAAATAGTCACGACAAAGTTCAGAGTATACCTCATCTCCAGAGGGTGAACAATTACAACCTGCGGGTCATCGAAGATGTCAAAAACGGATTGAAGTCCGCCGACTCATCCAATACGTGGATCATTGCTGGTGTAGTGGCATACGCAGACGATGTCGCTATCATATTTAGTGGAAAATATCCACAAACACTTTGCGATCTTATGACCGCTAAACTAAAAATACTATAGGAATGGACGATAGGAAACGGGGTAAATCCCTCAAAAACGGAACTTCTTTTTACAAGTAGATACCAAATCCCACAACTCAACCCACCTATTCTTAACAATTGTAGTCTCTCCTTTACCGGTCACCTCAGATAATTGGGGTTAGTATTAGATAAGCGTCTCAAATGGGGCTTAAATATCTAAGAGAGAACCAAGAAAGCGACTATTGCACTTTACTCCTGTAAAAAAGCAATTGGGCTAAGATGGGGCATGTCCCCTAGAATTGTCAAGTGGATATACTCGTACACAGCGGTAGTCAAACCAATCCTACTATACGGAGTGACTCTGTGGTGGACCGCTCTACACAAACAATGCATACAGACTCCCCTAAACAAAGTACAGCGAATGGCGGCTTTGTGT